GCGCGGGCGCGCCCGGGACCAGGGGGGCCAGGGGGGCGGGCCCGGCCGTGGCCGGCCTGCGGGCCCCCGGGGCTGGGGAGGCCAGGCGGAGCGGGGGCTGCCGGCACCTCCCAAGAGACACGCCAAGCCCTCACTGCGCAGGGGGCAGAAGGTTTTGGGCTTTTATGAGGACTGGCAATACCTGTGACTTTTTATAACAGATCGGGATTCACCTGCCAGGAGTTGGAACTATTTTCTTCCGAAGCAGAGCAGTGCTGCCAGCGTGCCATTCGCCCTCCCACCCCCAATGCGTGCGCTGTGCTGGCTACGCACAAAGCGGCCAAAAACACGTTTAGGTGTGCAACAGAAAGAAACTAGTTGGACAGGTACCTGCACAAAGACAGGAGCTAAAAAAACCCCAAACCAACACAAAACACTAGATGCAAGAATGAAGATGCAAGAGAATGAAGCTAAAATAGCTAGAAAGGAGGCATCTTTCCTCAGCAAAATATCATTATGGGAAAACCGAATGTTTCATCACAGTTTTGTTTAAGAAATGTTCCTGGCCCATTCACCAGACCATCAGACGTTGCAAAAGAAACACGGGGAGGTATGTTTTTAGCAATATGCAAAATGGTTTGCTAACAGACACACATGCAGACGCTTCCCTCTCCCTCCTGCAGCTGCCTAGGAGGTTTCACCACGACAATTCATAACAGACACAGAGAATGAAAATCCAAACCCTTTATCAAGGGTCTCTAGGAGGTTCAAGGAGACCGAAGTGCACCTAAGGTAAAAGCATACAGGAAAAAAGCAGTATAAAAATAGAATAAGCTGGTCGCTACTGGCAGAGGTGAGGAATCCTAGCCATCCGTTCTGTGCGCAGCAGAAACATCTCATCCTCCCTCAGGTTCAGGTTCCCACCCCCACACTGCAATGAAACGCACCTTTTTATCTGAGAAAATCTAAGGTTTCCATCACTGCATTCTCTACCACATCGTCTGAACACAAACACTGTTAGTGGCTTACGCTTGAATGTATGCAATTATAAGATAATGTATGCAAATTTGAAATCTGCTGCATTTTTATTAGACGCATCAGGTGCAGATGAGTACAGATAAGAGGAGAGCTTTGCAAAACACAGGAGCTCCTTTCTAAGAAGAAATAAAGGGTGTTGCTGGAACACCACTCCAACAACAGCTGCCCTATTTAGCTAGTATAAAAGCTCATACAGTTTGGTATTTTGCTTAAAAGAGTCCTCAGCTTTTGCACAGAAAATAGGGGCAGATTTTGCCAGACTTATTTTGATTGCACCAGGACAAAACCAACCACCCTATCAATGAACCTAAACTCAAACAATTAAAGATTTCTGCCTATTTGA